AAAAAAAAAAAAAAAAAAAAAAAAAAAAAAAAAAAAAAGCAAACAAAATCCTAGCTAAGCAGAAAAGAGATGATAAAAATTAAATAAAAATTATATAAATTGAAAACAGTAAATCAATGGAAAAAAATAACAAAGTCAAAATCTGGGTCTTTAGAAAAAAAAAACCCTCCTAAAATCAATAAGCCTCTAGCCAGGATAAAAGAAAAGTTCAGCCCTTAAATTACTAACCTTAGAAAAGAAAGAGAAAATATCATTCAAATACCATGTACATTAAAATAATAATAAAGGCATGCTATGAAAAACTCTATGCATGCAAATTTGACAATCTAAATTTCTTGAAAAACAGAGTCTGCCAAATTTACATAAGAAGAAATAAATGGCCTGAGTAGGCCTTTTTTTAGTTAAATTAATAATTGGTAACTTTCCAAAACACAATACCAGGCTTAGATGGTAGTTGAATTCTGCCAAACATCAAAGGAAGAAACTATACCAATTACTTTATAATTTATTTCAGAAGATAAAAATGGAATATTTCCTAACTTATTTTGTGAAACCATCATTACTTAATGCCAAATTCAAAGACATTTAAAAAATGAAAATCATAGACTAATATTTCTCGTGAACATAGATACAAAAACCCTAATCAAAATATTAAGAAATAAAATTTTTAAAAGTGTAAAAATAATTAATTATACACCACAACCAAAGGTATTTATCTCAGGCATGCAAGACTAGTTCAACATTTGAAAATTGTCTTAGTCTATTGTATGTTACTGTAACAAAATACTTGAAGCTGGGTTGTTGGTAAGGAAAACAGGTTTATTTAGCTCACAGTTCTGGAGGTTCAGTAGCATGGTACTGACATCTGCTTGGCTCTGATGAGGATTTCATGGTAGGTGGCATCACAATAATAGGAGTACAAGGAGAAGGAAAACAGTTGTGAAGAGGAGGGATCAAACTCATATGGTTGCCTCAGTTTAAAACAGCTGCATGAGGACTAATTCATTCCTGTGAGACCTGAACCACTTTGTGAGACTAGCATTAATTTGTTCATGAGAGAGGGGTTAAGGGAGGGCAGGGGAATGGGGAAAAAATAAAAAACAAGATAGATTATGTAAAGGTGCAAATTTCCAATGATGAATGTCGTCATATTGGATACCTAAATTGTACTGATAAAATTAATTTTAAAATTTATTCATGAGAGCGTAGGCCCTGTGTTCCACATGATGTGTCTTAAAGATTCTACCATCTCAACACTGCCACATTAGGGACCAAGCTTCTAGCACATGAAACTTTTGGGGAACAAACCATATCCAAATCACAGCAAAAACTTTAATGTGTCCTCTCACTTCTGTAGGCGAGTGGATAATCTACAGTCCATACAGACAGTGGACTCTTACTCTGCACTAAGCAGAAAGAAGCTACCAGCTGTGAAAAGGCATGGACGAACCTTAAATGCACACTACTAAGTGAAAAAAGCCAATCTGAAAAGGCTACACAATGAATGATTCCACCTATATGACATTCTGCAAAGGGCAAAACTACAGAGACAGTAGAAATTCAGTGGTTTCCAGAAGTTAGGAGTAATCATTAATGATGAATAAGCAGAACACAATTGCTTTAGGACAGTGAAACTGCTCTGTGTGATACTGTAATGATGGATACATGCCATTTTATATTTGTCTAAACCCATACAATGTAGCGGATCAAAAGTGAACATTCATGTAAACTATGCACTTTGGGTGATGATCTATCAGTGTAGGCTCACTAACTATAAACAAATGTACCGTTCTGTGGGACTGTTGGTAACAAGGGAGGCTATATGTGTGTGGAGGCACAGCACACATAGAAATTCGCTGTGCTTCTGTTAAATTTTTGCTGTAAACTAAAACTGCTCCAAAAAAATAGTCACTTAAAATAAACTTAGATAAACTAAGGTTACTTCTTCCTCCATTCTGTTGACTCAAACAAGATGCAGTATGTTTAAAGTTGTTGGTAGAAATTTCCATGGAAAAATATCAGAATTAAATCTCTTAAAGCTCACTAACAGCCAGCTTTCACTAGACAGTAATCTGACATGACTATACTGAACAATTCACTCTAGAGTAGAGACATTGTTTCACAATCATATGTGTTTAGTTTTGTGCACAATACCTCCATTCCTTTTTTATGCTATTTAATAATAGTTTCATAAATGGTGAATTAAAATTACAAAAGTTAAGTACAATTCACATAGATTGTGAACTTTAGAGTGTATAAAGAGTTTCATCATTAGCATCTCACTTGATCCTCTATACCACCTCACTCTAGAAAAAATGAAAAATAAAGAATAAGCAAAGAAAATGTGACTGTAGGACTGGAAATTGATTGAAGCAACTGATTGGCTGTAATGCGCCATTGCTACTTTTTCTACCTTATTCTTCTTGTAATTGCCCACAAAAATATTAGAAGACATCACATCTGTGCCACCAGAAAGACATGAAACAATAATGTTAGAAAGTGGATCATCTTTGGGAGAACTGCAATTAGAAAGAGCATCTTTGTGATTTGTAATGTCATTTTAGTTGCATGCATTTTATTTGCCTGAGTTTTGTCATAAAATAAGTTTTTCATGTTCCTTTCCTTTTGTAATAATGAAGCTATAGAGAACACATTTTCTATTCCTACAACCTTTCTTAGCAACCCTAAAGTGATAGGATTTTTTTTCCCCATGACATTGAAGAAAAATTTTAAGATGATCTCTTTTCCTCTGTTTTTCTCAAAAAGGTATGGCAGAATAGTCATTTACTTAATATCCTGTTTTGGTGTGGGCATTACCGGTGTTGTGGTGGCATTTGCACCAAATTTCCCCGTGTTTGTGATCTTCCGCTTCCTACAAGGTGTGTTTGGAAAGGGCACATGGATGACTTGCTACGTGATTGGTAAGACTTCGATATACTCTCTTCTCTGTTTGGGAACTGGGGTCAGGTGGCCAAGAAATGCTGCCAAGTGGGCCTTCCTTTAACAGTAACTACAAGAGACTTCCTTACAGTGACAGTAATTGAAAATTGAAGGGTTTGAGGGCAGGCTTCTGACATCTCTAAAGTCTGAAATGCTGTTTTAATTTGGGAACCAAATATGAAATATCATAAAATACTAGAATAAATCACCCCTGAGCATTCCTGTCATAATTATCACATTTTCCAGCTTTGCTTTACTGGAAATTAATTTCCACAAAACTTTCAGTATCTCCTTGAAACATTTTAAAAGTATTTTCTATCCTTAAATATTAGTTTTAATTCTCATGTATATGAACTATTAACCAACCATGTGGGAAATATGTCCTAAAAAGGAAAAGTTTATGAGCTTTTGTTATTTCTCTTAACTAGAAAGTATGACCTTCTGGGTATCAAAGAAAGCCTTTCCTCTACTTTTTACTCATATTATTGGAAAAGTCCAGCTGCTCCCCTTGGCTCCGTTTCTAGTACAAGACTGTCCACTTACTATACTTAAATTCAGGAAAGATTCATGACCAGGGTAATAACAAGGCTCATCTTGGATTATTGCTGTAGGATTTTGGGAGCCACTCTCTCATTACTGCTCTACCCAAGCAATTCCTACTTTAATAATCTTTCCAAGGCCTTTTTATAGATGGGAAAAGGAGAGAGAATGCTAAGAGAAATTGTCACTGACTGGAGTAGAAGGGACAGCTGTGGAATGTGAGACATTTTTAAGGAGGCCCAAATATATATGAATGTTCCAAGTTGTGGTCTTAGGATAGCATTAAGATAGCTTTTCCAGGATGGCCAGAGCAGAATAAAATCAATGAATAGGAGGGAGCAGAGGAGGAAGGATTCTAGCAATAAAATTTCCCATGTGACATTTAAAAAGAAACGTTATATAAATAGAAGTCTTAACACTGTGGCAAGAATCGTCACTTAATAGAAACTATCTTGTTATAACAAAAAGCATCTGTAGAGCCTAGTGTTCACAGAGAACCTCTGTAAGAAACTATAATGTGTAAATCTTTAAAGACACAATGATAAAATGTATCAGTTTACTATATTGTTTTGATAATTACAATTACCTTCCAAAATAATTGTCATTGAAGCCTCCCTAAAGCCAGCACATATTCTTTGTATTGCCCAGCCATACCCAGAAGGGTACCAAGCTGGGTGCCTGAGAGGAACAGACTGAGGACAGACTGAGACAAAGGCATTTAAGGAAACTGGAAAGTGCATCTCCATCATTTCCGCAAATATGGAAGCCTTGGTATTGTTGAGTTCTAGAGTGTTCTCGAAATGCTAATGGATATAACAGGTGTCATGTCTCTGTTTATTTTAGAGTTAATCTTGAGTTCCTCTAACCTCTTGTGTTTGTTTTCCCTCAGTGACAGAAATAGTAGGTTCAAAACAAAGGAGGATTGTGGGAATAGTGATTCAAATGTTCTTCACCCTTGGAATCATAATTCTCCCTGGAATTGCCTACTTTATCCCCAATTGGCAAGGGATGCAACTAGCCATAACGCTGCCCAACTTTCTCTTCCTCCTTTATTACTGGTAATGTGGTTTCTGTCATTATTGTATTTATACTTATTCCACAGGAATGTAGAATCTCAGCCAACATGAAAATGAAAGCAATAAAGGAAATTTTCTAACATTTCCAGAAGGGATACAGACTTTGAAGATTTTCAGAGTATATGAGATTTTACAGAGATTATTTATTCACTTTCAGATTAATGGTTGTTACTAAAAATGATAAAATACCAAAACACAAAATTCCAGAGAATTGCATCATATTTTATTATTTTATAATATCTTAATGGAAGCCATGAAGCAGCAAACTGTATCTGCTAGTATTTAAGAAAGCAAGTTGAATGTAATTAAATTAACTTGCTTCTCTTTATGCTTTATTAAGCAAATTAACATTACTCAAGAATTCTATGAGGAATAATAAAATGTTAAGAGCATCAGAAATTAAATTGTCAAGAAGGTACAGGTGTGTACATTTGACTCTTACTAATGCAAACATGTTTTTAATCTGTCAGCAAATCAATTTACATAAATGAAGTTATTAACTTTTTCCTGATACTAAATCCTGACTCTTTTCATATATATATATACTGGCCTTACAAAAATAATGTAATATTATTTTTATAAGCAGTGACCCAATTGCAGAATTTACATTTTTTCATTCATTTTAAATTTGGAAAGCTAATCTTTGTTTCAGAGAGTTTATTGTCAACTCACTATCATGGCAACCTGTACCTAACTGTAAGATGCATTTTGATTGAAAAATTCACACCATAAATTTTGAGATTTTGAAATTCCTGACGTAACTCTAAACAAGCTCCTTCTTTACTAGGGTGGTGCCTGAATCTCCCCGCTGGCTGATTACTCGGAAGGAAGGAGACAAAGCGTTAAAAATTCTGAGGCGCATTGCTAAATGCAATGGGAAATACCTCTCACCAAGTTACACAGAGGTAATTTTATTCATTACTAGTAACAAATATTGTTAAAGTGGATTTATTACTTATGTACTTAATTTTACTCCTTAAAGTCATATTTCTTACATACATTCTGACCAAGTCATTTCTAGTTGAGGTTAATTGATTATTTCAATCTGTATTTAATAGTTGGACTAAGCTCCTTGAATTATTGTCCTTTATTTACTATTGTCCTCATAGTAATGATTCATTTTGACTGCCCAAAGTATGAATCTTTCCTGATATTCACTTCACTCTGAAGACTTGTTTTCAAACTCAGTCTCAGAGATACTATTTATTCAAGTCAGAACTCAACTAATAATGCAGTATTTCAATGAAGGCACACATTTGCTTTCTTCCCTCTCTAACTTCCCTGCCTTTCTTCCTCCCTCCCTCCCTCTCTCACTCCCTTCCTCTTTTTTGCTTCCTTTAGCAAAGGTTGTTTAGGAATCTCTGTATGGGTAAAACGAAGAGTTTATTCTTTGCCCTGCGGAAGATGTGTTATGCAGTTGAGGATATAATACACATATTCAAAGTAACTGCTGAATAGTTAGAGAACAGCATACAAAAAGTGTATGACAGTGCTTTGGCTGCAAAGGTCAAGTGGATGCAGAATAATGAGAGGATTCTTATGAAAGGAAAACTAGTGCTGGCTTTGGCAGCACATACAAAATTGGAACTATACAAAGATTAGCGTGGTCTCTGCACAAGGGTGACATGCAAATGCATGAAGCGTCCCGTATTTTTTGCAGATTGTGATATTTAAGAATTACCTGGGCTGAGTGAGGGTCACTTATTCTCATTACATTATCGTATAGATACTTAATCGTGCTGTAGTTCAGATACATTCCAATAAGTGAGTGCCAGTGCAGTCTGTGTGTAGAGTAGTAATGAAGTTCCTTTTAAGTTAAAGTGTGTCTTATTTTTGTAGTTGCAAGCTATCTTTTTAGAACACATAAGGCACAGTCTGGTCTTTTGGCATGCCCTCACTGTGGGCTTTTGCCTCTTCTGTAATAGCTGACCATAACAAGGTAATAGTAAGACACTCATTAGAGATGTTGCCCACACCCTGCTGTCTCTACTTTTTCTTTTGAAGAACTCAACAAAATTCTGATGATGTACAATATTCACACTTTAGTTTGAATACATTACTATTTGATTCCTGGTTGGTAGATCTTAGCTACATCATAATGAGAGAGTACAGCAGAGTGTAAATAGGGTTCCTCCCCTTTATTACATTGGCTTTTAGCTTTTAGGAAGTTGGTTTTAAAATACACTGATTTCTCATCAAATGGGAGTGTCCTCTGTCCTACAGAAAGGAATCTTCTATAACAGTGGTGGTGAGCCTATGCACGTGTGCCACAGTGCGCATGCAGAGCCCTCTATGTCAGCAGACGAGCAAGTAGCCCCAGCAGCTGATCATCATATAACAGTTGTTTTTCTAAACTAAAACCTCAGCATTCAGGTTTAATAGTAGTGTTGGCACTTTGGAATAAATAGGTGGGTTTTGGTCACAGTTTAGGCACTTGGTCACTAAAAGGTTCACTGTTGCTGTCTAAAAGGATTTGTGCTGAGTTCTTCCTGAGAGATCAGCAAGGTTCCATGCCTGTGAACACTTAGCATCTGAAGACGTGGGAATGAAAACTTAGTTTTAGACAGGAAGCTGAGCTTTTCCATGATAGTTTTATTCTGGTCTTTGAAGTATGATAGTTTTCAGAACATAAATTGGTTTCATTCCACACAAACTTGTCACACTGTCACCTTAAAACTGTGCTGTATTAAACTTTGAAAATGCAACCTGAAGAAATGTGAGAGCTTAAGAAAAAGCCTTTTAAATATTTGTATAGTTTGCATAGTCTCATGTAGAGAGTTCTTCTAGCCATTGAGATGTATATTTAATGAGGGAATTCTATATGTTCAATGCAACCTTGCTTATAAATCTGGTGAATTATGTTGTTAATCCTCATAAGTCACGTGAGTGTGGCAGTTGTGATGGTGAAGCTGGTTGTGAAAACTTCCTGTAAAGCCATGCCTCACAGGTTGTTTCCCTAATCAGCCCAGGCATCATCACATCTGACAATGTCTTAAGGGTAGCAAGCAGAAGAGCCCTTGCAAGTGGTGCCCAAGACACCCAACTCCACCGGACTGAACAGTCAGACTTGTCTGCAGCTTAGAAAACAAGCCTTGCCACCGAAAATCCAGAAAGAGGAGGTAGACCTAGGTGGATAGTATTGTGCATCTCCCTCCATTTTTTTTTAAGTAGAGGACAAGTGAACAAAATTTTTAAAAAATTTTAATATACCTGCAAATAAATTGGTATAGATTACTTATGAATCCCTCTCTTATGTTCAAGTCTTTAATGGTTAAGATTTCTTTTCTTTCCTTTTTTTAAAAGAGTGGCAATTATCTTTTGAGCCTATGGAACTTTTTAAAGTTTTAATTTTTTTTCTTATTCTAATGACTAATGCAGCTTTTATCATGTTCTTAATTTGGGGGACAATTTTAAGACAGTGAGATAGTTTAAAATTACCCTTCATGTTGGAAAACATCTAAAAATGTTTGAGAATCCGGTGATATTTTAAAATAAAGGCTACATAAAAGTAAAAAAGGGAATATTGGCAATTTTGGCAGCTATGGATCTTGACTTAAACCTTAAAATTATTAGACCAAAGTATTGGTAAAATATTAGCATTGGGCCGGGGATGTAGCTCAGTGGTGCAGTGCCTGCCTCGCAAGTATGAGGCCCTGGGTTTGATTCCCAGTACCAAAAAAGAAAAGTGGAAAAAAAATTAGCATTGTTTTCTTTGTAGCATCCAGCCTGTTTTGATTGATATGTTCTGAGAAGAAGGTTCTGATAAGAAATTAGTTTTGTTGGTTTTATCATCCCTTTTCCTCCCAGCCAACCACCTCCATATTGATCAGATTTATATGAAGTGAGAAACAGTAGCTTCTGTGTTTACAAAGGTTTCAAGTGAGCAGTTGTCATGGTTGTATTTTAATGATGATCCAACAGTTACCAGCTTATGACCAATCTTATGTTTTCTATACACCATTTACTCCCTTTACTTGATTAAGAATCATAAGCCAGCCTTTAAGTCATTTCATCTTGTAATAATTTTCTCTAACATAAAAAGACATACATATGTACTTAACTGTAGGACCATGTGTGCTCTATCTTCAGGACATTGCTGAATGAACAGCAAAAAATATTCATTTGGCTCTCACAATTCATTGTAAGTAATCAGAACTTGATTTAGCTGTGGTAAGAGCAAATAGGGAGGGCAATGGTATATAGAATATAGTATCAATACCATTATTCTAATAAAATAATTAAACATAATTCCTTAATATCAATATCAAGTCAGTGTTTCCAATTTCCTGATTGTCTTGCAATGGTTTACACCTCTTTGTTTGTTAGGGTCTTCATGAAGTTTGTATATTGTGATAGTTGTTATGCCTCTTCAGGTTTATTTCATCCATGAGCCCTTTTTCTTGTCCTTGCAACTTTGAGGGTGAAGTATCCTGGATGTTTTTCCTATAGAGTTTTCTGCAAATTAACTTTCCTTGGTTACATCTCTTAGGCTCATTTAACACTTCCTCTGTCTTTGTAATCTCCTGTAAATTGGTAGTTAGAGTTTAATTGGGTCTGAGTTTGTTATTTTTGACATGCCTACTTCGTAAGTGGCTTCGTACATTTCCATTAGACAGACCTAGTAGTGTCTGCTTATCTCTTCTTCTTTGGAAACTTTGATTGCCACTGATAATAGCCTGGATCAATCAACTCATCAAAGATGAAAAAATGACATTATTCTCTTTGTGTCATTACTTCTTCATTTATTTCTGGCATACTTGTATAGAAGTCAAAAATTTTAATCAACTCTTGGTAACCCTATGATAGAGTTCACCTCAGAAATAAAATTTTCTTTTCAAATTAATGGATTGGTTCTTAATTACTCCAAAAATGGCCAAAGAGTTATATGGCCTTTTAAGCCTCATTATAAACTCCTGGATTTAAACAATGCTTTGTGGTTATTTTGGTAGTAATCTTTATTGATGCTCAACTTGTTCCACCTTGGAGTAGATGCAGCTTAGCTGCCCTCATCTAGTAGTTTCTAAACACTTCCTTGCACTTTAAAACAGTGGGTTTTATAAGTTCACTTCTCAAGTTCCTGTCTCACACTTGGAAATGCCTGTTTCTTTAGGGGTGTTGGTTAACAAATGCCTTCCAACTGAAGCTATCCATCTCTAATTTTTTTATTGAGCTTATTGGTACATTTATATGTACCTTAGGATCACATTCATCATTGAGAATTTATATCTGTACATGTCATATCTTGATTCTTGTTTTTCCCATTCCCCTGCCCTCTGTTCAACCCTTCTACACCATCCATATACATAAGTTTTGTTTCTATTTTTTTCCTTCTCATCTTCAATTTTTTCTTTCCCTTCTTTGCTTTCCCCTGCTCCCCCTCCCTAGTTTCACTTTCCCTTTGAACATTTTATTCCTATGTACAATATCTATTATAAATTTTGGCCCTCATTTATACCTTCAGTTTCTCACACCAGAGAAATGATTTGGTATGTAATGTGTGTCCTGTTTATTTCATTTAGGAGTATAGCCTCAAGGTGCATCCATTAGCTATAAATGTCTCAAGTTTATCTTTCTTTATGGCTAATACTCCATTTTATAGGAGGGAAAAAAAACCCATATCTTTATCCACTCACCAGTTCATGGGCTTTTGGGCTGTTTCCAAGATTTAGCTATTATAAACTATGCCATTATAAACATGAGTGCACATATATTGCCATGGAATGATGCTTTTAATTCTTTTGGGAACATACCCAGCAGGGGAATAGCAGGTTCAAATGTGACTTCTAATCCTAGTTTTTTGAGGAATCTCCACACTAATTTCCACAGTGGTTGCACCAGTCTGCACTCCCACCAACAATTTGAAAGGGTTCCTTTCTCCCAACAGCCCTGTCAGCATTTGTTATTG